AAAACAGAACAAAGTGAAGACGAAACAAAGATAACGGCAGAGAGGCTGGACTCACACGTCAAGGATGAACTCACACACACACACACACAGACACACACACACACACACACAGTAACACACACACACAGTAACACACACACACAGTAACACACACACACACTGTGGTAGCACACGGCTAACCACTAACAGAACATCTGAATCTCTGACTGGTTCTAAAACTTTTTAAAGATTAACAAAAAAAAACTGCTTCAGTTTCTTCAGAGACCACGAAGTGAGACGACTGCTGAGACTTTAAAGCAGCTGCTCACAGCAGAACTCAGTAGAACCCAGTAGAACTCAATAGAACCCAGTAGAACTCAGTAGAAGTCTCACCTCTCTGCTGGGCTGCAGCTCTCTGCATCAGTAACAGCAGCAGCAGCAGCTTCATCTTCAAACTGCAGCCAAACTCACCTGCAGCTCGACTAACACTAACTGGACCTGAACTGGAGCAGAACTGGAGCTGAACTGGAGCTGAACTGGAGCGATCCCAGTGCTGTGTGCAGCTGAACCAGTGTGAAGTGGCAGGAATGTGTTGCTGGAAGCCGCAGTGATCCAGAGTCTCATTCATTCAGCTCAATAGGAGGAGGGGGAGGAGGAGGGGGAGGGGCGGAGCGTACCATCTGACCTGATTGGGGGGGTCAGTGTGGGGCATCAGCACTGTTTCACTGTTTGTAAACAACAACAGTGAAACAAACAAACACGTGTGTGTGTGTGTGTTCTCTGTGTTTTCGTTTTGTTGTTGTTTACAAATGTCAGCGTGTTCAGTCAGCAGCGGAGCCGATCGATCAGCTGCGATCGATCACACGGATCAGAGCCGCGATGAGGCATGTAAAGGGTTAAAGGCTGAGAAAACAGCGTCCTGCTCCTTTAACCGGCTCCCCTCATTCAGCTCAGCCTATTGTCTGGTGGGGGGGTGGACCGTACCAAGAGCCAGCGGGGGGGGCTCCTCTCTGCTCGGCCTGGTCTCTGCCTTTCATTCAACATGACATGTTTGTGGTTCTTTTTTCTCTTTGCTGTGACATCGTGGCGGTTGGATGCTGCACGTGGTGACGCTGCTGAAGCCGCCTGTTTGTGTTCTGGTGTCGCTTTTTAAATACAAAACTGATGACAGTGAAACAGGTGAAGTTGTAATTTGCGTGACGTGCACTGCAGACCTGGAAACGACCTCTACTGGAGATGTCAGCTATAATCCTGATTAAAACATGTCATGCATCTACAGCTGTAGGGTCAGGTCTGGGTAGAACTCCTGACTGGTGTGTTGAAATGTGTAAATGAGTTAAAGGCGGGACAGGAAGTGTTTCACCAGCAGTCTGCTGGATGAGCGCTGTAGTTCACAGTGTGACCTGATGGCGGCGCTGTTGTCGCAGAAACACGTCTGTTTGTCTTATTGTCGGTGGAACTTGATGGAACTGCAGCTGCTGACTGTTTGTTGAACACCCTGGTGATAAACGTCTGAAGAACATTCGGTAGCTGATGGATCAAGAAGCGACAGTTTGTGTCTGAGTCGTGCTGGTCGTCTCTCTGGACAAAACACTGACGAGGCCTGGACAGTCCGTCTGTCTGCTGCGGTTTTCTATTGTCACAAACAAGTAAACAACTGACATGAGTTGGACAACAACTAAATGGACTCTCCAAGGTCCTGAAGGAACTCTTGAAGCATCTAAACACGTCCTGAAACCTTTAAGAATTCTAGTTCAACTTCATGAACTCTATGACATAAAGCCTAAAACCACCTGAATGAACATGACGATGAACCTAATGAACTCTAGAATTCTAAAATGCAAACTCCAGAACCTCCTAAACTTCTCCTAAACAGCCGGGCTGCACGTGGCTGTGACCAGTGGTTACCATACCACTAACTTCCACTTGTTTAGTTGTTTACCTCCACCGCTACCTGATCACCAGGTGTGTCGTGTAATTTTGTCAGAAGAAAACAGAAAGTCATTAATTCAGCCTTTTAATTGAGCTTAGTGGGTAAAAACACATTCAGTGTGTTTTGATTTATCATAAATAAAATAAAACAGAACTTATGTAATCAGACATCAAGGGGGAGTGGTCAGTCTGTAACATGACCCGGGGGGAGTGGACAGTCTGTAACATGACACCAGTGGGAGTGGTCAGTCTGCAACATGACACCAGGGGAGTGGTCAGTCTGTAACATGACCCAGGGGAAGTGGACAGTCTGTAACATTACACCA